ACCCACTCACCCACCCACCCACTCACACACTCACTCACTCACCTACCAACCCACTCACCCACTCACCCACCCACCCGCTCACTCGCCCACTCACCTTCTCACTCACCCACTCACCCACTCCCTCACTCACTCACCCACTCACCCACCCACCCACTTACCAACCCACTCACCCACCCATTCACTCACCCACTCACTCACCCACTCACTCACCCACTCACTCACCCACCCACCCACTCACTCACTCAACCACTCACCCACTCACTCACCCACTCACCCACTCACCCACCCACCCACATACCAACCCACTCACCCACCCATTCACTCACCCACTCACTCACCCACTCACTCACCCACCCACCCACTCACCCACTCACCCACTCAATCACTCACCCACTCACCGTCCCACCCACTCACTCACCCACTCACCCACTCACTCACCCACCCACTCACCAACCCACTCACTCACTCACCCACTCACCCACCCACCCACTCACTCACCCACTCACCCACTCACTCACCCACCCACTCACCAACCCACTCACCCACCCATTCACTCACCCACTCACTCACCCACTCACACACCCACTCACTCACCCACCCACTCACTCACTCACTCACCCACCCACTCACTCACTCACTCACCCACTCCCTCACTCACTCACCCACTCACCCACTCACCCACCCACCCACTTACCAACCCACTCACCCACCCATTCACTCACCCACTCACTCACCCACTCACTCACCCACTCACTCACTCACTCACCCACCCACTCACCCACCCACCCACTCACTCACCCACTCACCCACTCACCCACCCACCCACTTACCAACCCACTCACCCACCCATTCACTCACCCACTCACTCACCCACTCACTCACCCACTCACTCACCCACCCACCCACTCACCCATTCACCCACTCACTCACTCACTCACCCACTCACCCACCCACTCACTCACTCACCCACTCACCCACTCACTCACCCACCCACTCACCAACCCACTCACTCACTCACCCACTCACCCACCCACCCACTCACTCACCCACTCACCCACTCACTCACCCACCCACTCACCAACCCACTCACCCACCCATTCACTCACCCACTCACTCACCCACTCACTCACCCACTCACTCACCCACCCACTCACTCACTCACCCACTCACTCACTCACCCACCCACTCACTCACCCACCCACCCACCCACTCACCCACCCACAGACACACGGACAAAGCTGCCCCAGGTAGCCTGAAAAAACGGATCTGAAGCGACATCTAAGAACAAATTCTCACCAAACTCGCTGGCCTCATTAAATATTCATCACAAGGGGGCATCTGATTAATTATTCATGAGGCTCAAATATCTCCTAATTATTCATGAGGCACGCCCACTATTAATTATGCATATTCCGTGACGTCACCGCGGTGTGTGTGTGTCTGTGCGTGTGTCTGTGTGTGTGTATATGTGTGTGTCTGTGTGTTGAGTCTATGGGTCTCTGTGTGGTGGTGAGTCTAGGGGTCTCTGTGTGTAGTGGTGAGTCTATGGGTCTCTGTGTAGTGGTGAGTCTATGGGTCTCTGTGTGGTGGTGAGTCTATGGGTCTCTGTGTAGTGGTGAGTCTATGAGTCTCTGTGTAGTGGTGAGTCTATGGGTCTCTGTGTAGTGGTGAGTCTATGGGTCTCTGTGTGGTGGTGAGTCTATGGGTCTCTGTGTAGTGGTGAGTCTATGGGTCTCTGTGTAGTGGTGAGTCTATGGGTCTCTGTGTAGTGGTGAGTCTATGGGTCTCTGTGTAGTGGTGAGTCTATGGGTCTCTGTGTAGTGGTGGTGAGTCTATGGGTCTCTGTGTAGTAGTGGTGAGTCTATGGGTCTCTGTGTGGTGGTGAGTCTATGGGTCTCTGTGTAGTGGTGAGTCTATGGGTCTCTGTGTAGTGGTGAGTGGTGAGTCTATGGGTCTCTGTGTAGTGGTGAGTCTATGGGTCTCTGTATAGTGGTGGTGAGTCTATGGGTCTCTGAGTAGTGGTGGTGAGTCTATGGGTCTCTATGTAGTTTTGAGTCTATGGGTCTCTGTGTAGTGGTGAGTCTATGGGTCTCTGTGTGTAGTGGTGAGTCTATGGGTCTCTGTGTAGTGGTGAGTCTATGGGTCTCTGTGTGTAGTGGTGAGTCTATGGGTCTCTGTGTAGTGGTGAGTCTATGGGTCTCTGTGTGTAGTGGTGAGTCTATGGGTCTCTGTGTAGTGGTGAGTCTATGGGTCTCTGTGTGTAGTGGTGAGTCAATGGGTCTCTGTGTAGTGGTGAGTCTATGGGTCTCTGTGTATTGGTGAGTCTATGGGTCTCTGTATAGTGGTGAGTCTATGGGTCTCTGTGTGGTGGTGAGTCTATGGGTCTCTGTGTAGTGGTGGTGAGTCTATGAGTCTCTGTGTAGTGGTGAGTCTATGGGTCTCTGTGTAGTGGTGGTGAGTCTATGGGTCTCTGTGTAGTGGTGAGTCTATGGGTCTCTGTGTGTAGTGGTGAGTCTATGGGTCTCTGTGTAGTGGTGAGTCTATGGGTCTCTGTGTAGTGGTGAGTCTATGGGTCTCTGTGTGGTGGTGAGTCTATGGGTCTCTGTGTAGTGGTGAGTCTATGGGTCTCTGTGTAGTGGTGAGTCTATGAGTCTCTGTGTGTAGTGGTGAGTCTATGGGTCTCTGTGTAGTGGTGAGTCTATGGGTCTCTGTGTAGTAGTGGTGAGTCTATGGGTCTCTGTGTAGTAGTGAGTCTATGGGTCTCTGTGTAGTGGTGAGTCTATGGGTCTCTGTGTGGTGGTGAGTCTATGGGTGTCTATGTGTAGTGGTGAGTCTATGGGTCTCTGTGTAGTGGTGAGTCTATGGGTCTCTGTGTAGTGGTAAGTCTATGGGTCTCTGTGTAGTGGTGGTGAGTCTATGGGTCTCTGTGTAGTGGTGAGTCTATGGGTCTCTGTGTAGTGGTGGTGAGTCTATGGGTCTCTGTGTAGTGGTGGTGAGTCTATGGGTCTCTGTGTAGTGGTGAGTCTATGGGTCTCTGTGTAGTGGTGAGTCTATGGGTCTCTGTGTAGTGGTGAGTCTATGGGTCTCTGTGTAGTGGTGAGTCTATGGGTCTCTGTGTAGTGGTGAGTTTATGGGTCTCTGTGTGTAGTGGTGGTGAGTCTATGGGTCTCTGTGTAGTGGTGAGTCTATGGGTCTCTGTGTGGTGGTGAGTCTATGGGTCTCTGTGTAGTGGTGAGTCTATGGGTCTCTGTGTAGTGGTGAGTCTATGGGTCTCTGTGTAGTGGTGAGTCTATGGGTCTCTGTGTAGTGGTGAGTCTATGGGTCTCTGTGTAGTGGTGAGTCTATGGGTCTCTGTGTAGTGGTGAGTCTATGGGTCTCTGTGTGGTGGTGAGTCTATGGGTCTCTGTGTAGTGGTGAGTCTATGGGTCTCTGTGTGTAGTGGTGAGTCTATGAGTCTCTGTGTAGTGGTGGTGAGTCTATGGGTCTCTGTGTGTAGTGGTGAGTCTATGAGTCTCTGTGTAGTGGTGAGTCTATGGGTCTCTGTGTGTAGTGGTGAGTCTATGGGTCTCTGTGTGTAGTGGTGAGTCTATGGGTCTCTGCGTGGTGAGTCTGTGGGTCTCTGTGTGGTGAGTCTATGGGTCTCTGTGTGGTGAGTCTATGGGTCTCTGTGTAGTGGTGAGTCTATGGGTCTCTGTGTAGTGGTGAGTCTATGGGCCTCTATGTAGTGGTGGTGAGTCTATGGGTCTCTGTGTAGTGGTGGTGAGTCTATGGGTCTCTGTGTGTAGTGGTGAGTCTATGGGTCTCTGTGTGTAGTGGTGAGTCTATGTGTCTCTGTGTGTAGTGGTGAGTCTATGGGTCTCTGTGTAGTGGTGAGTCTATGGGTCTCTGTGTGTAGTGGTGAGTCTATGGGTCTCTGTGTGGTGAGTCTATGGGTCTCTGTGTGTAGTGGTGAGTCTATGGGTCTCTGTGTAGTGGTGAGTCTATGGGTCTCTGTGTAGTGGTGGTGAGTCTATGGGTCTCTGTGTGGTGGTGAGTCTATGGGACTCTGTGTAGTAGTGGTGAGTCTATGGGTCTCTGTGTAGTGGTGAGTCTATGGGTCTCTGTGTAGTGGTGGTGAGTCTATGGGTCTCTGTGTGGTGGTGAGTCTATGGGTCTCTGTGTAGTGGTGAGTCTATGGGTCTCTGTGTAGTGGTGAGTCTATGGGTCTCTGTGTAGTGGTGAGTCTATGGGTCTCTGTGTGTAGTGGTGAGTCTATGGGTCTCTGTGTAGTGGTGAGTCTATGGGTCTCTGTGTAGTGGTGAGTCTATGTGTCTCTGTGTAGTGGTGAGTCTATGGGTCTCTGTGTAGTGGTGGTGAGTCTATGGGTCTCTGTGTAGTGGTGGTGAGTCTATGGGTCTCTGTGTGTAGTGGTGAGTCTATGGGTCTCTGTGTAGTGGTGAGTCTATGGGTCTCTGTGTGGTGAGTCTATGGGTCTCTGTGTAGTGGTGAGTCTATGGATCTCTGTGTAGTGGTGGTGAGTCTATGGGTCTCTGTGTAGTGGTGGTGAGTCTATGGGTCTCTGTGTGTAGTGGTGAGTTTATGGGTCTCTGTGTAGTGGTGAGTCTATGGGTCTCTGTGTAGTGGTGAGTCTATGGGTCTCTGTGTGTGGTGGTGAGTCTATGGGTCTCTGTGTAGTGGTGAGTCTATGGGTCTCTGTGTAGTGGTGAGTCTATGGGTCTCTGTGTAGTGGTGAGTCTATGGGTCTCTGTGTGTAGTGGTGAGTCTATGGGTCTCTGTGTAGTGGTGGTGAGTCTATGTGTCTCTGTGTAGTGGTGAGTCTATGGGTCTCTGTGTAGTGGTGAGTCTATGGGTCTCTGTGTGTAGTGGTGAGTCTATGGGTCTCTGTGTAGTGGTGAGTCTATGGGTCTCTGTGTGTAGTGGTGAGTCTATGTGTCTCTGTGTAGTGGTGGTGAGTCTATGGGTCTCTGTGTGTAGTGGTGAGTGATGATTATTTGACTCACCTCTGGACGTGACACTGCACACCACCAGACCGACTATCACCATCTTCAGAGAAGCCATTTCGCTCACGAAATCCGATATTCCCTGAAGCTCTTTGCTTGCTAGCGCTGTGCGGAATGACAAAGGTCCCCCAGGTAGCCTCTAGCAGGCGCTGTGGGGAAGGGGGGGGGGAGGGAAAATCCTGTTAGTGTCTAGACATCAACCCAACTCAGTCACTCACTCAGTCATTCAGTCAGTCACTCAGTCAGTCACTCACTCAGTCAGTCAGTCACTCAGTCAGTCATTCAATCCGTCACTAAATGAGTTACTCACTCAGTTACTCGGTCAGTCACTCAATCAGTCACTCACTCAGTCAGTCGCTCAGTCACTCACTCAGTCACTCGCTCAGTCACTAAGTCACTCACTCAGTCACTAAGTCACTCACTCAGTCACTAAGTCACTCTCTCAGTCACTCAGTCACTCACTCATTCAGTCACTCGCTCAGTCACTAAGTCACTCTCTCAGTCACTCAGTCACTCACTCACTCAGTCACTCACTCACTCACTCAGTCACTCGCTCTGTCACTCAGTCAATCAGTCGCTCGTTCGCTCACTCACTTAGTCACTCAGTCACTCAGCCACTCACTCAGTCACTAAGTCACTCGCTCAGTCACTAAGTCACTCGCTCAGTCACTAAGTCACTAAGTCACTCACTCACTCAGTCACTCGCTCTGCCACTCAGTCAATCAGTCGCTCGTTCGCTCACTCACTTAGTCACTCAGTCACTAAGTTACTCGCTTAGTCACTCACTCAGTCATTCACTCAGTCACTCGCTCAGTCACTAAGTCACTCGCTCACTCACTTAGTCACTCGCTCAGTCACTAAGTCACTCACTCACTCAGTCACTGGCTCTGCCACTCAGTCAATCAGTCGCTCGTTCGCTCACTCACTTAGTCACTCAGTCACTCAGCCACTCACTCAGTCACTAAGTCACTCACTCAGTCACTCAGTCACTCGCTCAGTCACTCACTCTATCACTCAGTCAATCAGTCACTCGTTCGCTCACTCGCTCAGTCACTCAGTCACTCAACCACCCAATTACTCACTCACCCACTAACTCACTCACCCACTAACTCACTCACCCACTAACCCACTCACCCACTCACTCACCCACTCACTCACCCCCTCACCCACTCACTCACTCACTCACCCACTCACTCACTCACCCACTCACTCACCCACTAACCCACTCACCCACTCACTCACTCACCCCCCCCCCACTCACTCACTCACCCAAACACCCACCGACTCACCCACTGACCCACTCACCCACTCACCAACCCTGAGTGCAATAACCACAGCACCACCACTCCCCCCTCACACACACACAGACACGCCCACAGACACGCCCACAGACACACAGACACGCCCACAGACACACAGGCACACACACAGACACACAGACACGCCCACAGACACACAGACACGCCCACAGACACGCCCACAGGCACACAGACACGCCCACAGACACACACACAGATACGCCCACAGGAACACACACACGCCCACAGACACGCCCACAGACACACAGACACGCCCACAGACACGCACACAGACACGCCCACAGACACACAGACACGCCCACAGACACGCCCACAGACACACACACAGACACACACACGCCCACAGACACACAGACACGCCCACAGACACACAGACACACACAGACACACACTCACACAGGTATAGATATCAGGTGAGAGGTATAGAGTTTCTGTGTGTGTCTGTGACCGGCTCCAGTTTAACAGCAGAGGTCTCACTCCGAATCAGTCGAGCGGCAATATCTTTTCATCGGTTGCGTAACGCTGTGTGGAAGCTACCTGGTCTGTCGCTCCGCACTAAGCTTCAGGTCTTCTCGGCCACGGTCATTCCCTCCCTTCTCTACGCTTGCGAAACGTGGACCCCCCTAATGGAACATCTTCGCCGGTTAGAAACTATTTAGGCTGGCCTGCCTACGATCCATCCTGGGTTTAACCTGCAGGCTGGATTGTGTGAGGAGCTCACAAATCCTCGAAAGATCTGGGCAGGGTCCCATCGGTGAGCTCCTCCGGCAGGCAAGGCTGCGATGGCTGGGTCATGTAGCCCGCATGCCCAGCCACCGCATGCCGAAACAGCTTTTGTTTGGCCGGATCGAGGGGGCTAAGCGGGCGCGGCACGGGCTAGAGAAGAGATGGAGTGATGTGGTACAGGAGGCACGGGGCTAGAGAAGAGATGGAGTGATGTGGTACAGGAGGCACGGGGCTAGAGAAGAGATGGAGTGATGTGGTACAGGAGGCACGGGGCTAGAGAAGAGATGGAGTGATGTGGTACAGGAGGCACGGGGCTAGAGAAGAGATGGAGTGATGTGGTACAGGAGGCACGGGGCTAGAGAAGAGATGGAGTGATGTGGTACAGGAGGCACGGGGCTAGAGAAGAGATGGAGTGATGTGGTACAGGAGGACGTGGAGCTGAGTGGACTTGCCGA